GGGGGGCTGCTCCAGGGGGGATCCAGGCCGGGGGGGACCCCCCGGGGTAGCCCCCAGGCCGTGGCCCCGTCGCCAGGCAGGGCAGTGGTACCTGCCCACGGCCTCTCTTGTAGGGCAAAGAACAAAATACCTTTGAGATCCTTGGTGTTTGGAGCCGCAGGAGATGTGAGGGGGGAGGTGTAGGGACAGCTCAACACGTGGGGATCCCTTCCAGAGCAGGGTCAGCCTGCACTGCCATCTTGGGTCTCTTCCCAGCAGGTCTGGTTCAGTCCTTATATTGGGATGATAATGGGAAAAAAAAAAAGGCTTTTAGCTCCCTAAAATACAGACAGAGAGGGCCAAGCCTTGCCTAATGTGTTTTTTCCTGGCATGTGAGATAAGCTAAAGTAAATTGTTTGTCTCTAATACTTGAATTTTGGTTGTTTAGCTGGCAAAGAAGTACCACCCTGACACAAATAAGGATGACCCTAAAGCTAAGGAGAAGTTCTCTCAGCTGGCAGAAGCCTATGAGGTAACATGCAGGATTTTATTGTCATGAGGAGGGAAGAGTAGAGGGTAAATGGGGTGAAACATGCATTTCCTGTAAAAAAGTGGCTGTTTTTAAATATTTTGTGGTTTAGGCATGAGTGTCTGTGTCTCAGCAGTGTCCCTAGGATATCACTTAGTCCAAATATCTGATTTAGCTGGATGTGTTTTGGGTTGTTGGGGCTTTTTCTTAGTAGTAGGGGACTGATTCAGATGCTGTGGTCACTGCAGTGGAGTTCCTGGTCAGCTGCAACAAACAAAAGACCAAAAAGCTTAAAACAACACAAAAAAGCACTGGTCATTAGCTGTTTTGAGACAGAGGGACCTTCCACTGTGCTGCTCCCCAGCCCCAATTATTCCTGCTCTTCAAGAATTTCTCTTGTGGGTTTTCAGATGTACCTGAGCTCAGGTACCAGAAGCTATTCCTGCTTAGTAAGATTTTGTCAGTTTCCTGATGGTGAGCTGAGGGATCCCAGGGAAGCAGCAGCTTGTCAGTAACTGCTGGAAGCTCCTGCTGACAAGGAGGTTTGAGGAGGGGGGCTTGGGGACAATGCCTTGAGCTGTGAACTGATGTCCCCAGAGATGCTGCTCTGTGGATGCAGCCCAGTTGCTGGGGATCCATACAGGGCCCTGCTGCCAAGTGCAAGGGTCTGCACCTGGGTTAGGCAATCCCAAGCACAGGCACAGGGTAGGGGGAGACTGGATTGAGAGCAGCCCTGAGGAGAAGGACCTGGGGGTGCTGGTGGATGAGAAGCTCAACATCAGCTGGAGCCCAGAAACCAACCCTGTCCTGGGCTGTGTCACCAGCAGCGTGGGCAGCAGGGCCAGGGAGGGGATTGTCCCCCCTGCTCTGCTCTGGGGAGACCTCACCTGGAACTGTGTCCAGTTCTGGAGCCCCCCAACATAAGGACATGGAGCTCCTGGAGAGAGTCCATTGGAGATGATCAGAGCCTGGAGCACCTGGCAGTGTTGAAGGGCAGGTTGGATGGGGCTTGGAGCAACCTGGGCTGGTGGGAGGTGTCCCTGCCCATGCAGGGGGTCGGAACTAGATGCTCTGGAAGGTCCCTCCCAGCCCAAGCCCTCCTGCTGCCCCCAGGTGCTCAGTGACGAGGTGAAACGCAAGCAGTACGACGCCTACGGCACCGCCAGCTTCGAGCCGGGCGCGGGGGGGGCAGGGGGCGCGGGGCGGCAGTACTGGAGCACCGGCCCTTCCATCGATCCCGAGGAGCTGTTCCGGAAAATCTTCGGGGAATTTTCGGGATCCCCTTTCGGTGACTTTCAGAACGTCTTTGACCAGCCCCAGGAGGTAGGAAACACAATGACTTGGGTGTAATTAAAGAAAAAATGAGAAGTGAAAAGCTGCGGAGGGACGTGATTCTGTCACGGGTTGTTCTTGGGCTGAGCTTAAGCAAGGAATTTCCTTCTGGGAATTTCAGTGTCCTCTTGGATGGCTTTTGGATGTGTTCTCCAGGCAGAATGTTTTCTCTGGACTTCAGCTGTCTCACTAACAGGATTGCAGAGCCATTTTTTCTGCTCTACCCTGATTTACATACGTCTGCTTTCATATGTAAAGCTAAAAACCACAAAATATCTTTTCACTATAAAACAAGCCTCCCGGCATCAGGTTTGCTTAATTGGCTTAATTTTGCTGCTTAATTGGCTTCACACTGCAGTGGGGCCCATAATAAAGCAAAACCTATGTCTTGTTCTTTGTACTGTAGCTAAATGCTCTTTTACATACTGAGAGTGTTGGTTCAGGTGCTGCCTTCAGAAGTGCCTGCTGGTCTCTGCTTCTGCCTTTACTCAAAATGACCCTTGAATTATAAACAGAATTCCCTGTTTTGTGCAATCATTTTTGCTGGTGACTTCCCTTGGTAAGTAAAGAGTTGATTGAGGGAGAGCAGAGACTCTCAGTGGGACTGGAGACCTTCACCCTCGTCCTTCCTGCAATCCCCTGGAGCTCAGCCTTTAGAAATGGGAAGGGTTTTCCTCAGAGGAGAAACATGCTTGACTTCTGGGTTTACTTCCTTCTTTTAATGTGTTTAAACCTCATTTTTACTACAGTCAGTGGTTTAGTAATCACTCCTGTAATGTCTGCTATCCCCTTTTTGCATTTCTATGGGAGCACTTCTCATATCTGCTTCCTATGATTGCTTCCTTGGATGAAGCAGACCCTTCGGAATGAGCCGTTCATCCATCCCTTTCTCCCCCCACTACTCCCTGGATGTATTTTAAACTCCAATCAGCTGTAGATGGATGTCCCATGTTTCCCCTGCAGTACATCATGGAGCTGACCTTCACCCAGGCTGCCAAAGGTGTCAACAAGGAGATTGTGGTGAACATCAGTGACTCCTGTGAGCGATGCCACGGCAAGGGACACGAGCCTGGGACCAAAGCGCAGCGCTGCCACTACTGCAACGGCACCGGCATGGTAGGGCCTTCTGAAGCCACAGGTTCTGCTCTGCTTTTCCTTCTTGGGAAAACTCAGTCCCTTCCACAGGGAAAAACTCTCCCTACAGTCATATTGTGCTTTGGGCCTAACAGGACAGCAAAGAGCCAGCCTCGTGGTTGCTCACTCAACTCCCCACACACACGCTGTGGGATAGGGAGGATAAACCCAAGTAGAAGCTTGTGGGTCGAGACAAGGACAAGGGGGGTTCTTCATGGATTAAGGTCACAGGCAAAACAGATTCAACTTGGGGAAAAATCAGAATTTAATTTCACACTAATGAGATGCCCACAGGACACAGACAACACAAAGAGCAGGGCTTACACACGTTACCCCACCCCTCCCTTCTTCCTGGACCCAAATCACTTTGTTCCCAGTTTCTTTCCTTCCTTCCCCCCACAGAGGGGTGGGGTTTAGAGTCACTTCACACGCTGATGGTTCCTGCTGCTCCTTCCGCCTCAGGAAGAAGGATTCCTCACAGTCCTTCCCTGCTTCCTTCCCATGGGAGAGAGTCCCCCACAAACCTCTCCTTCATGAGTCCTTCCCATGAGGTCAGGAGCTGCTCCAGCCTGGGCTTCCCACAGAGTCACGGGCTGCTTGGGGAACAGCCAACAAAATTCTGCTTGGGCACCTTCTTCTCTTTCTTTCTCACCAAGCACAGGCACTGCTCTCCCCTTCCAGCACAGCTCTTCTCCCACTGCTCAGCTCTTACCTCAGTTCTTTCATATGTTACTCACAGAGGTGCATCTATTTTCTCTCTAATGGCTCCTTGGCTGGTTTTGGAGCTGGGGGAGCTCTTCAGCTTCTTACCAGAGCCACCCATGGGGCCCTTCTTCCACTACCAAAATCCCCACCAAACCATACAAGTCAGGTCACCTTGGGTGAAGCCAAATTAACGTGGACTTGATGATTTTCTTTGTATTAAAGTGCTCTGCTCACCTGAAAGCACTGCCCTTCAGGGTGACACTGTCTGGTATTCTACAGCCAGCAAACCATATTGATATAATGTAAGAGTTCTGGGATTACTTGGGCATTAAATGGGATACTTGGAATTAAGGAGTGAAGGGAGGAGGAAGGTGATAGCCTGAAGGTACTAATGAAGTAAAAAGGTAGATGCTACTTACAATAAGGAAAAAAATGAACACCCCTGTTGTGAGGAAAGGCTGAGGGAGTTGGGGTTGTTCAGCTTGGAGAAGAGAAAGCTCTGGGGAGACCTTACCTTCCAGTATTTGAGGATCCTTGTAAGAAATAGTAGGGCCCGCAGCTCTACTAAAAGTCTCTTCCAAACCATTCCTTGATTGAGCTTCAGGCTTTCAGTTTCCACACATCAAAATGGGTACAGGCAGGAAAGTCTCTTCCAACCCAAACCATTCCATGATTGAGCTTCAGACTCTCAGTTTCCACATATCAAAATGGGTACAGGCAGTCAGTCTGTGACCAGAGGACCTCTGTGCACAGCAGGTGTAGCTGGTTAGAGACTGCAAGTTCTTCCCATCAGTTCCTCATGTGCTTCCATCTGGTGGGGGTGGCTTTCACAGCTCAGTCCATAGCTTAGGCTCCATAATGTTTTCCTGGACACTGGCAATAATTCATGCAAGTGGATTGGCCTTGGATTCCTCAAAATGCAGGTGTTTGTAGGTGGTAAGGAGCTTTGTTCCTGCTTGTGCATTAAAGCCTAGAGATGGAGGCTGTTGTGTTTCCCTCTCCATGTGCTCCCAGTGGTGGTTTTCAGTGGGAATCAGATATGATGGTGATTGAACCTGAAGCAGCTTCTCACCAGCAGCGTCCTTTGGAGTCCCGAGCCAGTTTTCTGCTCTGCCCCTTGCTAAAGGACATCACTGTCCTGTCACGTTGCGTGTCAGAGGGACTCAGATGTGCTAGGACAGGCTCAGGCAGTGTTTTCCAGAAGTGAAAAGCACCATTTTGGTAGCAAAATTAGAAGCAGGATCTGTGTTTCCCTCCCCAGGAGACGATAAACACGGGCCCGTTCGTCATGCGCTCCACGTGCCGGCGCTGCGGGGGGCGCGGCTCCATCATCACCACTCCCTGCGTCATGTGCCGAGGAACGGGGCAGACCAAGCAGAAGAAGACAGTGATGGTTCCTGTGCCAGCTGGTTAGTGGTGTCCTCGTGTGCTCCTGTCTTTTCAATAAGTATAGTTCTGTGCTTCCACCTGGCACTTGCCCCCGAAGCGTGGCTGGTCCTTGCTGGGTGCAGCTGCGAGGGCAACGTGGGAAGTTTTGCTGCAGAGGAGTTACCCTGAGAGCAAAGCAGGTTGATCTCTTGGCAATTGGAAGGGTTAGGAATGAGCTGAACTTGCTGGCTATGGATATAAACATCTGCATTGCTCTTCTGAGCTCAGGTTGTGGTTCTTGTGGGGGTCATTCTAGGTGGCTTTTGAAGAATGGAACTCAAAAGGTTTTGTTGCGTTGGGTCTTTTGTTTGTCCTTGAGGAAGCTTGAGGAGAGGGTGGGAATCTTGATAGCTTGGCCCAGAAAAGTGTGCTGATGTCCTTCCCACCAGAGAGGACTAAATGAGTGGTGGGGCTGAAGTCTTGCTGCTTGGAGATCACCCTGGGTGAGCAGCCTGTAACTTCCCTGCAGCTGATGAAGTGCCCAGTGTTCTGATGCACTTCCCTAAATAATTCTTAAGGGATTGAAGTAATGAGCCTGCTTGGGGTGTAGGGGTCACCTGGGAGGTGTGAACATGTGGTGCCACCTCCTCTGGCCACAGCTCCTGTGGGAGTGTCACTGCTGCCCACTGGTAGCTCATGTGCCTCCTGCTCCTGGATGTGCATGTGCTGCTGTGGTGGCCACCTCTGGGGATGGTGAGGGGTCTGGAGAGAAAAGCTGCAGGTATTCAAGTAGTGCAAGGATTAGAGGGCAAGGCAACATTCCCTCTTTTTTTTCTGGCTGCAGGTGTTGAGGATGGGCAGACAGTTCGGATGCCTGTGGGGAAGAAAGAGATTTTCATTACATTCAGGGTACGTATCATTGCACGGTTTGGCTGATTTCTTTATTGAAGTTGGGTCAGTTGTTCCCTTCACAACTGCCTGGGAAGTCTGACTGAATGGGGGCTGGAGGAGGAAGAGCCAGTGATCCCTTGGAACAGCTGAGGTAACATGATCCACCTGAACTTTGGGAGGTGCTGCTCTGTAACAGCACTGCTGGTTCCAGGACAAGGCCTTGAACCAAAATGTGGTGTAGGTTCTGGATGTCTCAAGCCTTTGACTTGGCAATGTGAAGGAGCTCCCTGCTTGCAGGGTGGAAGTGCCCAGGGGGACTGGGGATGCCCACTGCTCAGCTCCCCTCTTGCAGACACACCTGAAGTGCTGCTGTAGCTGGGGTCCTGCTCTGTCACACACATCTCTGTCCAGGAGACACCTTGTTTCAGCACCTTTTTTGTGGTGCAGGAGGATGATTTAAAATCCCTTCCAGCTTGTGGGACCACTGCAAAGGAGCTTGTCTCCTTCGAGGTGCTGGACAAGGCAGTGTCTTCTCTGTCTCCACAGAGTGGCACTGACACATAAGAGGATTAGGGAGGGAGTTGCTGAGGTGGGAAGCAGGTTCCTGAGCTTCTGGCCAGTTATGGTTATGTCAAGATCTGTGTTTTTCTAAATCACTGAACATGAACTTGCAGTTTGGGGAGGGCAGAGGGTCTGACTGCAGCATTCTGGAGTGTCTTCTTCTGAGGCCCTTCAAAGCGGCACATCATGAGAACTTGGTGGTGGTTTGCTCACTCCTCTTTGGAACTGCCTGCCTTCCAGGTTCAGAAAAGTTCTGTGTTCAGAAGAAATGGAGCAGATATCCACTCAGACCTCCTCATTTCCATAGCACAGGCTGTTCTGGGAGGCACAGCCAGATGTCAAGGCTTGTATGAGACAATCAACATCACGGTGAGTACCCTTGTGTGGAAGAGCTGGGGTGTAAATTGATGGGGACAACAGAGACTTCTCCTTTTCTGCAAAGGGGGTGCAGATCTCTTGAGTCTGCCAGTAGAGAGTTTCAGGCTTCTTCAGGATTGAGCATCAGGTAGTTTGTCACCTGCTCAGTCACACCTCCTTTCCTGTTGCTGAGCAGGGACAGGGAAGGGCAGGGTGGATTGCAGTAGAAATCCATTCCAAGGGCTACAGACTGTGCCAGGTTCTTCAATCCTCTTTTAAAAACCTTTCCATCATCACTGACTTTGCTTCTGAATGTGTCCAGATGCATGAACCTACCAGATCTCTCCCATCCTACTTTGAAACTGGCTGGAAAAGTTGTTAATTATTGTAGACATGTAATTACTCCAGTTGAACCATTTAGATAGTAATAAATGTGACCCCTCTTGTGTTCCCAGATACCTCCTGGTATCCAGCCAGAGCAGAAGATCCGAATGAGTGGGAAAGGCATTCCCAAAGTTAACAGCTATGGCTTTGGAGACCACTACATTCACATAAAGATCAAAGTTCCTCAGTAAGTTGTGAAATTGTGACCTTTTTTGCAAAAAAATTCTTGTTCAGAAAGACTTGGTAAAAAATTCCTTCCTGCTCTGTCACATTCATTCATTTCTCTCTTCTGCTTTTAATTCTAATGTGATCTAGACTTTTTAAAATCCTAATGGGATGTAGACTCTTTTAATCATACAGTTTGAGAACCCAGCTCTAAAAATCCTAACCCCTGGAAGCAGAGAAGTAGGTCTTCACCTGGATATTTCCCTGGCTGTGGTCCTGGCTGGATCCCAGTTACATAAATACAGTGTTCAACGACACGTCTGTGCTCTCACACCTGCTGAAGTCCTTGGCAGGTGCTTTTCAGGCTGCTTGGCCACCCTCTGCTCCTGTGGTGAAGGAAACTGTTTTAACTGGTACTGCTGCCCTTGGCAAGGGAGTTAATCTCCTGAGTTGTGCCCACCAGGCCTGAGCTCTGTTGCAGCTCCACACAGACCTTGGCACTTGGGTGAAACGTGGTGGGTGGGACCTCTTCTCTTCCACGGAGGTTATTGACAGGGAGCATCCACTGGGCTTTGCAGCCTGTGCCTGGTGTGTTAGTCTTGTCCTTCCACTAGTTGCTTCCCATGTGTGTTGCTGGAGAAGGTGAAGGAGGGCTGTAGACCCCTGTGTCCCCAGCTGTGTCATGCCCTGCAGGAGGCTCACGGATCGCCAGAGAGCCCTGATGATGAGCTACGCTGAGGACGAGGCCGACGTGGACGGGACAGTGAACGGGGTCACAAACACAGCATCAGGTGAGCCCTGGGTATTGCTGCTCATGGTTTAGTGCTCTTTCCTCCTGGGAAAGTCCTGGAGGGTTCCTGGGGAGGAAGGTGAGCCCAGGTCACCTTGAAGACAGCGTGTCAGCACAGCCTGCAACCCGTGTTCTGGCAGAAGCAGTTTCAGTGTGGGGATAATGGGCTGTAGCACTAGGCAAGGAGGTGCCTTCTTCCCAGAAAGCTTCTGAGGGGAACAGAGACCAGGTTTTGAGATACTCTGGGGGCCTGATAAGTCATGAGTCTTGTGGTGATGGGTGCCTTCTGCTCCCTGCTTCTGCCCTGCTGCCAACAGTGACTTGTTGGAGCATCAGGGGCAGGAAGAGCAAATGTGTTTCAGGGCAGTTTTCTTTGTGAGCTCATCTGTTGGCCTTCTGCCCTCAGTGGGGAGGCTTGTCCTGGAAAGCTGAGGTGGAATCCTGCAGTCAGGGCTGCTCTAAGCCCTGCTCTGGGCATGGGGGAGGAATCTGGGATAGAAATGCCCACTAGTGGCCCTGGTCACAGACAGAGCATGATGGAGAGAGTCAAGTGAGCTGGGAGCTTTGTAAAACTGCTCTTGCAGCTCCAGATCAGGAATTTGGATCCAGCAATTATATGTGGCAAGTTTCAGGGCTGAGGAACCTGGCATCAGGAGCAGCTAAAGAAAAAAAATGTCAGGTTGAGCAGTAGGAGCTTTGTCTTGTGCTGCTGGAAAACATTTTTCCTTTGCTTATATTGAGACAATGAACTTTTCTTAAAGCTGGTTGGATTTCTTATGTTTGAACCCAAAAAGGGCATTTCTGACTGCCAGGCAGGGGGGAGGGTCTTCCAAAGCTGCCAAGTGATCCCAGGAACTCGGGCTCTCTCTACTACACATGCCAAAGCTTGAGGAATATGGGGTGAAGTTGAGGATATTTGGAAGGCAACACCTGCCAAAGGCTGGCCAAGGTTGTGTTTTACAGCCCATCAGCACAGAAGTGATGTCCTTTCTGCTGAGGGTGAGCATTTAAGGTCAGCCTTGAGGGGAAGGGGACTGATCTCTCAGCATAAACCTTTCATTCCAGCTTTTTCAAGACGTTTGTGTGCAAAAGAAAAACACAAAACCAACCAAAACAACCCTCTTCAAATGTGTTTTCTAAAAAGTAAACCTGCCAATTTTTACCACAGTTAAAGCAGCAGGGAGGGTTAAAAAATGACACCAGTAGCTGGCAGTGCAGACAGGCTGTTGCTGAAAGCTCTGGGAAGCAGGAATCCCTTGGGTGGAAGGAGGCGGGTTCAGCCTCAGTGTTTCAGGCTGTTGCATCAGGCTGAACTCAGGAGTCAGGGGGGCAGGGCTGGACGTGGTGTCTGTGCAGAGAGAGCTCGAGGAGGATCCAGGGGTCTTGTTATTTGCTGTTTTTACTGTAGAAAAAAAGCAAAGAAGTCTCATTTGTTCTTGCTGTAGCCACTCTGGAGGGACAGACAGCTGCTCAGGACCTGTTGATACAGGAAAATTGTGCTTGTTGCCAGTTAGATCCTTTACCTGGACACTTGTTCTGAAATACTTGTTGCCTTTTTCATTCTAGTTCATTTGTTTCTCAATCCCTCAAGGGATGCCTGGTTGGTTTCACACTGCTTTGCTCTAAAGGGTCACAACATGAAGCAGGAAGGCAGATTGTTCCAGGGACCAACAATGCAGTTTTTTTTTTTCTGTAAAGGCCACGATCAAGCTGATCGTTTGGTTTTAGTGGCAGACTCTCAGTTCCAGGTGCTTGTTTTCAAGCCTGTGGGGTCCCTTGTCTCAGTTGTGAAACATAAGAATTCCCCTGCCAGTTGGAGGGCTGGGGAGAGGGGACAGGAACAGTGTTACCTGGTCTCGTGGTTGTCTTTCCACTTCTGGGCTCTGAGCTCACCAGTGCTTCCATTGCAAGTGGTCCAGTACCATGGCTCAGTGCCAGGTGCAGCCCTGTAGGAGATAGATCGTCCTGGCAAAACCAGCTGCCTTGACCATTCCCAGGCTAAAAATAACCCTCTCACTTTGCCAGGGGGGCTGGCTACTGGTGGGAGATGTGTCTGACTGCAGCCCTTTGCTGTTTGTGTCCAGGTGGCAGGGCCAAGGCTAGGCCTGACGCAGGGGATAGGCCTGAGGCTGAGGAGAACAAGGAGGGATTCCTTTCCAAACTTAAGAAAATGTTTAGTTCCTGACACCCCATCCGAGGTAGGAGGCCTCTTGTGTTTTATTGTTGTCTTTCCCCCCGCACCAAGCAGTCCTTGGGAAATAGAAGCAGCAAAAGCACAGCATTGCTTCTCACTGAGCCTCAGGCCTTCCAGCCACTGGTGTGAAGAGCCCTACCCATCCCCTGGGACCTGCAGCAAAGTGCTAGGGACTAAATTGCATTCTTACTGCAGCAGAGAGCAGCACAAGTGCTGGGTATGTCTTGAGGGAGGTCACTGGCCTCTTCTGCAGCTCTTCTTCCTTGGCTGCTCAGTGGCTGAACCTGATCCAAAGCACCTGAGGGTGTTCCCCTTGGCTGGCAGAGCTGGGATTGGGCAGTTCTGTCCTGGCAAAGCCTGGGCTTGCTGGGAGGCAGGGGCTGGGCTGCTGGGCCTCTGGTACTGGTCACTCAGGCTGGACACCCCTGCCAGGGGCTTCAGCACCAGGGAGGAATTGGTCTCTGATATAAAAGCACAGCAGAGCCCCTGTCACACCAGTGAGCACAGTGTTTGACTCATAGAGACACAGAGTGGTGGGGTTGGAAGGGACCTCTGGAGATCACCCAGTCCAACCCCCTGCTAGAGCAGGGTCACCTACAGCAGATCCCACAGGAACAATGTCCAGCTGGGATTGGAATGTCTCCAGAGGAGACTCCACAGCCTCTCTGGGCAGCCTGTCCCAGGGCTCTGTTACCCTCACAGTAAAGAAGTTTTATGTTTAACTTAACTCTCCTGTGCTCCAGTTTGTGCCCATTGCCCCTTGTCTGGGTGCTGTGGAGCTGGTGCTGAGCTGCTGTGGGGCTGAGCTGCTGTGGGGCAGAGCTGCAGGTGTCTGGGGTTCCAGGGGCTCAGCTTCCTGCCATCACAGGCTTCACACTCACCTGCTCTGTGTGGCTGACAGAGGGTGGTGGCAGGTCAGGCAACGAGGTGTTCTCATGCCATCAAAGCAGGCTGTGGGGGCTGTGTGCCTTGGCCCCAGCCCTCAGGAAACCTGCAGCTTCCCTCTTCCTTCCACAGGGAAGCGTTCGACTGGAAACTAAGAGCCAGCAACTCGTCTTTGCAGTCAGGGATGAATCCTCCTGGCAGCAGGCTCTGGAGAGTGACCCAGGTCAGCCAGCAGCACAGTGAGAATCCCAGCTGGAGAGGCTACAACCCACTGAGGCACCAACAGTCAGCACCTGCCATCCTGGGAAAGGGTAATGAAGGGAAATGCCAACTTTGTGGAAATGCTGCTGTGGCTCGAGGTTGCTCCACAGTCCCTCCTGCTGCTGGAAGCTCATTTGGTAAAAATGTCAAGTTGAAATCTTATTTTAGACTCCAAAACAGTGGGAATGTGAAATCAAACTTGACCTTCCAGCATAGAGTGGTGCAGCTGGTGGAGCCCAAGGTGGCTGCTGCTCACTCAGGTGCCCTCCTGAATGCTCAGTGAGTGTGTCACCCCCAGCTTCTCCCAGAGACTTGGTGGGGCAGTGAGTTTTGACCTTCCCTTCATGGCAGCCCTCCTGGGCTGGCCCACACATCTCCAAGTGGGAAGTCTCCCTGTGGCTGGGACTGCTCAGAGCCCAGCTGCCCTGGGGTTTCTTAGTCCTGCTGATTTCCTGCACCAAGAGCAGTGATGGAGTCTGCACTTTGCCTCAGGTTTCCCTCCCCTCCCCAAATTAACTACAGTTACAACACAAATGCTGTGCTTCTGAAGGGGTACAAGGTAACCACCTAGCTCTTTCCCAGCTGGGGGACAAAGTCTTTTATTACATTAGTGCAACACCTGTAGCATAAAGGAATGGTCAGAGAGTCTTTGCTCTACACGTGTGAGAACACAAGTGCAGTGGGTCTCCCCTGCCAGCTGGAGTTGAGCTCTTGCAGTGAGTGTTCCATGGTTCCTGTTGCTGCTGGTGATAGCTCCACCCTGCAGGCTCTGCCAGCCCACAGACTAATCGACCAGCTGAACAAGGACATGTCCTAGTCTTGCCCTCCTTAATTTGCTGAAATAAAAGCACGTGTTGCCTCCTGACTGAACTGTCTGTAAAGTGATTCTGTATCCATGTAAATAAGATTGACTTCATAAAGATATTTAACACCTACTGTGCTTTGCTGCCTTGTCTACTCTTCCAGTCTTGTCTGTCCCTCCTCCTCCCCCCCAGTAATAGGAACAAGGACAAGGCTGGATGGCTGGAACATCTCTCCGGTGGCTGCCAAATCCAAGGAGCTTTTTCAGTGAGTCTTAAATCCTAGGGTTGGACAGTTTTGCAAAGGGTTTTATTCAACTCTCGGGGCTACAACTAGATTTAGCTCAAGGAACCCAAAGCTCAGAGCTGTGTGGGAAGAAGGTGATCCTGGGAAAACAAGCCACCACCCCCCCCAGCAGTGAACCCACTAAACCAACACCTCCCCATAGATAGTATGCAAAGGTAGTGCTGCTCCCACCCCGCTGCCTGGTCTCAACACCCTCACCCCAGTCACAGGAGAGCCCTGGGACACAAGCAGGGACCAAAGCTCTTCCAGCTCTGGCAGGGTCAGCCTGTCCCCAGGGCGCTACTTGGAAAGGCTCAGCGCTGCTCACAGCTGCTTCCTGCTGCAGACACGTGGTGGGAGAGGACGAGGGAGGGGTCAGAAGGCAGCTTTGTTGTCTGCCACCCACTGAGGGAAGGTGCGGGCCCTGGGGTTGAGCTTCATGGTCAGGTCCAGGCTGCGGTCGGGCCGCAGGGCGTAGAAGTGGAACATGGCAGCCATCTCCTGGGCCCCTGGGGAGCCACGGGCCTCGTACTCCTCTGGTGAGAGCTGCAAAGGGAACGGGGGAGGGGGGTCACTGACATGGGTGAGGAGGCCTCTGCAAGTCCTTTGGGTGGAGGATGTGCAAAGGAAGCAGCAGCCCTGCAGAGAGCCTTAAGCAGGGCCTGCTGGTGGGATGAGGTGGAGCACCCTCTTGACAGGCAGGGCTGGTCCAGGAGCTCCCCCAGATCCCCACTTCCTGCAGATGCAGCATGAGAATGGGTCCAGGTGGTGAAATCACACTGTGCAGATGCTGAGGAGCTTGGTCTGGATCTGCCCCTGGAGGCCACAGCAATGGGAAGGGCAGTGGCACCTGAGGGAACAGCCCAGCCTGGCACCCAACTGGCCTGGGCACACAACCCCCCTCTGCCCAGCACTGCAAGGGAGCCCTTCCCTGCACTGGAGCACAAGCCATGGGGGTCTAGAAGCACATTTGGGGTGGTCCAGAAGAACTCTGGAGAGCCCAAACCATCCAGGCTGGCACTCCAGCACCTGCCTTCCCTGCCTGAATCAAGGGGTGAACCACTGGGAGGAGAAGAGCTGCTGATTTGTCCCGGGGAGCAGAACCTGCAGAGAGCAGCAGAGCTGCTTTGGTTCTGCTGAAATGTGCTGTGCTCTCAGAACAAGAGCCACCACACCCCTGGGTCCATGGTACCTGCTGCCCCAGGGCAGCACAGCCAGAGCAACAAAACAAAGTCAGGGAGAGGCAGGGAGAGGTGAGGAGCACGGTAAGGGTGACACAGCAAGGCCCACGGGGACAACCTGAGGAGGGAGGGGCAGGTGGCACAGACCTGTTCTGTAGCTGCCCAGCCCCAGGCTCTTTGGAGACCTCCCACTTCAGTTATCCCTCAGCACCAGGCACAGACCTGCCTGGGCACACCAGGGCACTCCATGGGTATGAGTCACCCCGGTGACAATGCCCACAGGGCAGTGTTGGTGCCAATCAGTGCTCCAGCCACACACAGGAATCCAGCACTAGGTTGTACCAAACCATCTGCTGAGCTAGGAGGGCAAGACAACACTCCTCCTGCCACTGCTGTCCCTGCTCAGCCCCTTCACAGCCCCCTGCAATTCCAGACCAACAGGAGAGGCTGGAGACCACCAACCCAGCTTGGGCAGGGAGCTGCAGAGCACCCAGCTGTTGGGAAAGCACAAGGATAGTCCCCTCACCACCTCAAGGTGGGCTGCAGGGCCCTGAGCCAGCTTCTCCCCCACCTCATGAGCATCACACAGGCCCAAGGACACTTCCTACCTTGCTGGCTACCACGGTCTTGCCCGTCGGCTGGGAGAGGACGGCGGCGTACCCTGCCTCGCTGAGCCTGCCGGCGCTGAGCCCGATCACCCGCCCCAGGTACTCCCCTGGGGACTTCAGCAGGGAAAGCACAGCAGGTCCCATGTCCTCCACTGCCATCCCATCCATGGGGGTGTCCCCGATGGGCAGTTCTGTACGGGAGAGATTGATCCTGCTCAGAGTGCAGCCCAGCTCGAGTTTTTGGCGCCCAGCCTGCGAACATGAGGTGAGGAAGAGCCAAGAGCACCCACCACGGGGCAAGCCAGGACTAAGAGACTCTGACTGGCCAGAGCAGCCCCTCTTCTGACCTCCAGCACCCCAACTGTGGGGAGCTGGGGTGCCCAGAGACATTCTGGGATCTGCAACCAGAAATAGGACCAGGATCTCAATGCTTGCAGGGCACCAAACAGGCCTGCAGCTGCAACTTGCTGTGGACAAGCTGGGACCCACCCAGGGTGATCCTGCTCTGGCACAGGGGCTGGACTCCCGATCTCTGGAGACCCCCCTTCCAACTCCTACCATTCAATGATTCTTTTCCCTATCAGTCTGCAGCTCTGGTGGTTCCTCCACCCCTCCGTGAGGCTCTGCACGATGGGATCAGATGCAAACTACAGGAGAGTGACACAGAGAGCCGAGAGGTCCCATCTTACCCAGGACATAAGTATCTCCCTGCGGGACCTTCTGCGGCTTGAAGATGGAGAGGAAGTTCTCAAAGTAGAACGGCAGCCGGACGCAGGTGGTGGGCACACCAACCTTCTGGAAGTACTCCTCCACCTCCCCTTTGCCATCGAAGTGCAGCACCTCCAGCCTGCCCCCCGTCAGCTGCTGCACGTTCTCCAGGCCACTGTACACGACGTGGCGCAGGCCCAGGCGCTTCGCCAGGTCCGCAACCCGCCTGCCCTGCGCCAGGGCAAAGCTGGTCGTGAGGGGGGAATGGCTCCCTTGGGAGCTCCCACCATCCCCCCACACCCCTCTTCCCCTTTGCTGCGCTGGGCCGGCTAGCAGGAATCGCTGAGAAAGCATCTGTCACCATGAGCCTTCAGCTGGAACCAGGGCTGAGCAGACCCGGCAGCTCTGGGAGTTGCCCAGGTGGAGCTGAATCCTCTGCTCACACCACCCTACCTCAGAATGTCCCCACACCTTCCAGCTTTGCAGCCAGCTCCCCCACCAAGAACATAAACACCAGCTCAAAAGATCTGCCAGGAGCAACGTACCTGCCCTAATGTATCTTTTGTCCACTGCCATCCAGGTGTGGCAATTGTGGCACCTGGGAGCTGACACCGCCCTTGGGGACGGCCCTGGAACTTCTGATTCCACAGCACAGTTTGCCCACAGAGCTGTGCGTGCAGAGAACTACAGGAACCAACAGTCCGGGCTCAGCCCCAGGAGGTCTCTGCAGAGCTGTCTCTTCCCACTCCTGCCACTCTCTGCCACACCAAGTCTTGTGGCATTTAATGACTCCCTGAAGGCACCAGATCCCGGAGCCACACGGCTGTGAGGGCACAGGGAACAACTTGTGGCTTTGCAAGGCCTGGGACCTAGTTTGTGAGGCCTTGGGACTTTTCTGGACTGGAGACTCGGAGCTCTCAGGGCTGGCAAGGCTGCACTAAGGTCTGTCCCGTGGCCCTCACCCCAGTGCCATGTCTGTCCCCTGATCACCCAGTCCCTTCTGCACGAGGTGCCCGTTAGAGCGAGTGCTGGTACCTGTGTGATTTCCTTCTCCTTGCTGCCGTGCTCCCAGAAGTTGGTGACCACAAAGGCTCCGTAAGCACCTGCCAGGGCCAGCTCCAGGGATGGCTCATCGTCCTGATCAGCCTTCACCACCTCAGCTCCCTTCTGCTTCAGCTCCTCAGCCTCCTTCTTCGTGGGGCTCCGCGTCACCGCGCGGACCTTGAAGGTCCCATCGTCCAGCAGCGCCCGGGCCACGGAGCCCCCCTGGGCCCCTGCAGGTGCAGAACTGGTGAGACTCCCCAGTTCCCACGGCTCAGGGAGGCAGCTGGAGCTGTCAGACCTTGCACCCTCCCTGTGACACGAGGACCGAACCCTCCTCCTGCCGGTCCCACCACCCTGAGCTGCTGCTCCGGCCACGCCGGTGCCTCCCACCCCCC